CTTTCCCATGTCTTTTTCTGTTGCTTAGAGCTGAGTATCATCTAATAAAGAAATTATTTACTCAATAAATATTATTTGAGCATGCATATGACCAGAACCATGCTGAGACACAGTAGAGGCTACAGGAGAATTAAACTGTGGTCTCTGCCCTTGATCCAGGCCCGAGCCACGGCTGAGCCCAGGAGAAGGGCTCGCAATGGCAACATTCCTAACCCCTACCCTCTTTGCTCCCTTCAGAGAACAACAGCTCTACAGCCAACTGGCTGACTTTTACATTCTGGGTTTGAGCCAAAGCCTTTTATCTGTGAATGTTTTCCCTGAAAGTGATCAAGTGGGACGTCCTGGAGGCAAGGATCACATGGCCAATTCACAGAGATGTGGATTTTGAAGACATTTCCCTATCTGCTTCCAAGAAGGCTGGGGGGAGTATCCCACAGAGAAAAGGCCTGTGAGCCAGGCCCTCTGCTGCCCTGTGGTGAGCAAGCACCGCAGTCTGTACTCACCATTCTGTGGGCCTCTCCTTTCTGGTTTAAGTATGCTCGGATAGTGGCCAATCCTGCATATTCCCCCTGGGCTCCACTGTAAACACAAGAAGAGAAAGTTCAGGACTTTGGCCTCTTGGCTTTCATTATACTTTTATTTATTTATTTATTTTTCATTTTGCCCAGGGTCTGTATGCTTGTCAGAGATAGACACAGAAAGAGAGGAGGAGAGCACCTTTCATGGGGCATATGGTCATGCCACAATTCCTTTTCCATTTCTCTATGCTGTCAGAATTTTGGGCATGTAGGCCCACGTGCTCAGCATGTTTTTTAAGCTACTTGTTCTGAGTCTCAAACCACAAGATCAACCATGTAAGATCCAGCTGCCTTAGCCATCAAGCCACGGAGCCAGCCCATGCTTTAAATATTTACTAGTTCATGGCCATGCATTTGCCAACTCATGGCACATAGCTACTCTCCCAGTCAGGAGTGCTCACCTCTGCATGAGCCAAGAAGTCCTGAACAAAGAAACCACACGTGGTCTACACACTGAAACCCACCCACTCCTACCCAAAGTGGATCTCTCAACCCTCTCTCAGGACTACCCACTGGGAAAAAACAAACAAACAAACAAACCACCTGTTTCTATTCTAAAAATTTTTTGAAATATAAAAATAGGGAGAAGAATATAAGGAACCACCATGTACCATCACTCAGCTGTACTAACTACTGGATTATAGTTTTTAACTATACCCCTCAGTAACTTCCCTCACCCCTGAACTAGATTATTTTGAAGCAAATCTTAAGAATCACATATCATCAGTTCAAACTTCAATATGTATCTTTCAAAGCTAAGAATCATTTTAGCCAAGCATCAGAATATCCTTTCAAGGCACTATGCTTCCCTCCCCCAACCCTTTTTTATTTATTTTATTTTTTTGCCAGAGGGCTCATGTGCTTGCCAGAAAGACACACAGAGAAAGGGAGAAAGAAGAGGGAAAAAGCAACCCCAGTGGGGGTGTGGCCACACCACAACCCTTTCCTCCCCATTTCTCTAGCCTGTTGGGATTTGAGGAATGCTCACATGTGCACTCAGCGTGGTTTTCAAGCCACTAGGGCTAGGATTCAAATCATGTGATTGATCATGTGGGATCTGATCCCATTACCCACTAGGCCAAGGGCTAGCCCAGAACTATGTACTTTCCATGTGGCACTATTCCTCTAAGTCTCAGGGTCGGCTTTCCCAGGCTCTGCATCCAGATGATTGCTAGAGGCTGGCCACACTCATTGTAACAGTTCTAGAAGGCACCACATTCTGAGCCACTCAGTGACTAACATTCCCGTGAGCAATGCTGAGTCAATCGCAGACTGTCATTGGAAGTTCCCAGAACCCCATGCAGAAAGGAAAGAGAAGCGAGTAATAGCTTTTTCTTTCTTTCTCTTTTTTTTTTTTTTTGAGAGAGAGATTTTTGTTATGAGCACGTACACTTGCCAGAGAGACAGAGAGATAGAAAGAAAGAAATCCCTGGAGGGATGGCTGTAATCCTTTCTCCTCTACTCTCTTCTTGGGACTTTGGGCACACACGCACACATACCTGGCATGAGTTTCAAGTCACTGGGTCCAGGACTCAAACCTCAGTCGACTACGTGGGAACGTGGGAGTCCAGCAATGTGTAACCATTATGCCATCTGCTGGTCCCAAGTAATAGCTTTTTAGTCCCATTTAAAATATGAATATCCTCTATTCTTTTTTTTTTTAATATGCTGTAAGGCACATGTGATTGCCAGAGAGAGAGAAAGAGAGAACCACCCCCATGGGAGATGTCCATGCCACAGTCCCTTCTCCATTCTTCTCTCTGGATTTTGGGCCTGCACATGCACTGGCATACTTCTGAAAATGCCTAGTCCAAGACTCAAACTGTGCAGTTGACCCTGTGGGATCCAGCATCTTAATCACTACATTCCTGGCTGGCCTGTTTGAATACCCTCTGTTCTACAAAATTATACTAGAGAAAGGCTGAGCGGTCTTGTAGTTAATCCCTTTTGGTCATCCCACAGTACTGAGCTTGTACTCTTAAAGCACAAGGCTAAAGAATCAATTAGATATGGGACCAGCAATTAATGTGGTGGTTAAGGCTCTAGATTCCCACACGGTCAACCACGGTTCAAGTCCCAGACCTGGTGGCTTGCTTTCTTACTTTTGTTCATGCTCTTTTGCTGTCTCTCTCTGGGGACCACATGTGCCAACAGCAAATTAAAATAATAAATAAAATAAAATAAATAATTTTTATTAGAGAGTATCAATTTATAGTCTCTTTTACTTCTAAACTAAAAGCTAAAAATTAAAGCTTTTAGAAACATCCTTGAGAATACTGGAATGAAGCAATTTAGATTTGAAGTTTTTGCAAACTAGTGTAGACATCTCGATAGTCTGGTGATACAAGGCTTAGCATGAGAAGCCAGAACAGGGAAAAACTCACGGGTACAGGACTTAAAGCCTAGGTGGAGGAACATGGCACCACGGAGCAACAGAAGAGGCCAGAGGAGCTAACTAATGATACCAACAGCAGCAATGAGGAATATAAACTATTCCATTAATTAAGCACTTCCTATTTACCAGACAGCAAGCACAGGGAAATGGTATCTACTGTGATTGGTGTATCACCACCCTGCATTTTTTTTTTTTGAGAGGTTTTTGCTATAGGGTGTGTGTGCTTTCTGGAAAGACAGAGAGAGACAGAGAAACAGAAAGCGAGAAATCACCCCCCAGGGGAGATGGCCATGCCGCAATTCCTTCTCCTCCATTCTCCTCTCGGGATCTTGGGCACGCACGCACATGCACTCGGCGTGAGTTTAAGCCACCAGGTCCAGGACTCGAACTGCGGTTGACTATATGGGAGTCCAGCGACATAGCCCTTTCACTATATGCTGGTCCCCACCCTGCAGTTTATAGCCTCCTGTAGTCTTCCCAGTAGCCCCATGAAGAAACAGAGGTCAGAATAATACGTGCCCCAATGGCCAACAGTGACAGACACTTTAACATGAAGCTGGCCCATCTCAAAGGGGCCACATGCTCCCCTTGCGATCAGAACAGTTCTCTGAGAACACTGTGCTCCCCAGGGACTGAGAGAGCCATAGAGCAAACACTGACTTTCCTCCACTGCTCCTTGTCTGCTTGAGACTGGGAGGAAGAGCTAAACACAAAAAGAGACCTGTCTCACAAGAGCTAAGGCACCTGGTTCCTCATTGACAACCCTGAGACAGCCTAACATCTATCTGCTTTTTTCCGGGGTGAAAGGCAGAGACTGCACTTCAGTTTTCCTGCCTTACATACAACAAATTTTAGCCCATTTGATGCTTTTTTATTTTGAGACTAAGCAAATAAATATGCCACACTTCAGTAAACTGCTCACATCACTAGCTACTTGGTCTTTCTGTGCCTCTCTGACCTCATCTGTAAAATGGGAACGGGGTGGTTGGGATGAGAGGTGAGATAATTCATACGAAGTGCTTATCAGTCAAATCCTGTACATTCCTCAAGTAGTTCTGACTCAAGTTCCACCTCTCTGTGAAGCCTTCCTCAGAGGCACCAATTCAGGTCTTTGCCACGGCCTCAAACCCCACACAACCTGTGGCCTCTGCACACCTAAGTCTGTTCTCATCCCTTCCTTACATAGTCCAGCCGCAGACTTTCTTCCTTCTCTGAAATATGCCAAGTCCATTCCCATGCTGGCATTTTTGCACCAGAAGTTCTTTCTGCTTGAAAACTGCTCCTCCAGATCTTCACCCCTATCTGACTTCTTCTTTTTTTTTTTTTTTTTGAGGAAAAGAAAGGTTTTTTTTTTTTTTTGAGAGAAAGATAGGGCACGTGTGCTCGCCAGAGAGACAAAAAGCAAGAAATCACCCACAGGAAGAATGACCACGCCACAATCCCTTCTCCTCCATTCTCCTCTCAGGATCTTGGGCACACACACACATGCACCCAGGGTGAGTTTCAAGTCACTGGGTCTGGGACTCAAACCACAGTCAACGACATGGGAGTCCAGCAATGTAACCATTACGCCATCTGCTGGTCCCCCATCTGACTTCTTATCAACATCTAGGCTTGAGCCCAAATGTTATTTCCTCAGGGAGGACTTGCCTAGAGGCAAGAATCTTCTCTGTCTTCTTCACATGGTATTCTGTATGTCAAGAACACTGACTTGAGGATGTTCAATAAATATTGATTGAATGAATGATTCGTTACCTCCTCCAAACTCAAAGCATTTTACTCTATAGGCTCATCTGAGAATACCATTGTATACATGCTCTGTAAATGGAAAATTAATACAGATTTCACACTTAATTTGTGTGCTTATCTTATCTCAATTAGAGTAGAAGCTTTTAAAGTAGGATGTAGGTTTTAATAGAAAAAAAATAAAACCATGCAATTTACGTTTCAAGAGTTCTATCTATCCTCTATATTTCCTTCCATAGACAATATACAGAATGGTTGTTTTGCAATAAACATTTAGTAAATTTGTTCAAAACCCTTCAGGCCAGGCATTCAACGTGACTGCTATCCTTTCATCTGAGGTAAGACCCTGAACAGATGCATTTTACATCTACTGTCTGTTTTTCTAGGACTCTATTCATCTCATTTTGTTGGAAGGCCAATGAAAGTGTACAGTGGGAGTGAAAGAAAGGACTTTTGGAGCTATGTGCCAGTCATCCAAAAAAAAAAAAAAGGCAACATGCTAAAGACAATGTGATCAGAAGAGCTGAGTGGTTTTTGTTTTTGTTTTAAATAATTATTTTATGGGACCAGCAGTTGGCGTAATGGCTATGTTGCTGGACTCCCATGTATTTTATTGCAGTTTCTAGTCCCGGACCCAGTGGCTTAAACTCACGTTGGGTGCATGTACATGCATGCCCAGGATCCCGAGGGGAGAATGGAGAAGGGACTGCGGTGTGGACACCTTCCCTGGGAGGTGGTTTCTCATTTCCTGTCTCTCTGTCTCTCCCTATCTTTCTGGAGAGTGCATGCGCCCTTATAGCAAAAACCTCTCCAAAAAAAACATAATAAAATAATAAAAGAAAACAATAATAAAAAGAGAA